GCTTATTGGATAGTCTGTCAACTAGTTGATTCCCCCGCTTGCTGCCTCTATGATAGAGGGAGCAAAAGGGAGGGAGGGGGGAGGAGATACTTCAAAGCAGCAGTGCCCACACAACTGAGCCAGGGATCAGCTGTGTAGCACTGCTGGTTTAAAACCCCAAGGCAGCATTTCAAAGGGGCAGCCGCAGCACGTGTGGTGTTGCCCCCATTGAAACCCGGTGACCCCGGGTTCTGGGGAAATCCATGCAGAACCTGGGGTCAGCTGCAGAGTCCCCAGTTGACCCTGGGCTTCATGGCGCTGCCACTTTAAAACACCACCTTGGCATTTGAAAGGGGGCAACGCTGCAGAGCTGATCACAGAATTAGCTGTGTGGCCGCAAGTGGCACCCAGGGTCAACTGGGGACTCTTCTACATGTTAAAGCAGGCACCTGCGCACAGCCAGGAGTCAGCAGGACTTCCTGATGGCTCTGGGCTGTATGCAGAGCTCTGCACTCCTACATTTCAAAGGGGGAATGCGGAAGTGCCTATTGACTAGTTGAGTAGTCGATGGAAATTCCATCGACTAGTCAATTAACCACAGTTTAACATCCTTAACACAGAAGCAGCAGGGGGGGGCTCAAACTCCTGGGGGGCTGCTCCTCTGATACAGAGGCAAGAGCACAGGGTGGCAGAGGGCTCCCTGGGAGTGGGGCCGAATTGCACTGGCTGCCGCTCCCACCCCTGGGAAATACAGAAGTCGTGTAACTGGCAATATTTTGTGTGGTTACATGACTATTCAATTGTTCAATAGCTAACATTCCTAGTGGGCAACAGGCTCACTCTTGCACCCACTGTAATGAAAAATTTCAAGGACAGACTTTAGAAGAGATACATTGTAGAAAACAAACTAATTTGTTATCAAGAAAGAGGTCTGTCCAACACAATAGGCATGATTTATATACAAGGCCAAAGTTTGTTTTTAAGCACCCAGAGGCAGGAGGTACAGCACACTGGACTCAGTTTGATGGCATCAGCAAGTGAAATGTACTCACTTGGTCAGTTTCGACAATGTAAGGATAACCCAAATCTAGTGATAACCAATTAGCACTTTCTTGGGAAAATGAAGCAACAGTGGAAATCACTTACAGTTGATTAATTGGTGAGTATGCTGCAGGGGCAAAAATAATTTCTTCTCCATCCCCAACCCATTGAAGGAAACATGTTCACCTGTCTAACAATCAAAAGGGGATTAAAAAAAACTTTAATTTCCAAAATTCCGATCTATTAAAATCTCATTTTTATCTGCAGTGTTGTTCTGTATCAGTCCCAGAAATTTAAAGACGACAGGTGAGGAAAAAAAAATGTTTAGACCAACTTCTCTTGAGACCTGAAAAAGAGCTCTGTGTAGCTCAATCTTATTTCTCTCACCAACAGAAGTCAGGCTGATTAAAAAAAAAAAAGATATTGGGTTACTTACCCAGTCTTTCTAGTATCCCATTTTAAACATTAAGCTCTGTGAGGAAGTTCTAGGCAAAGCAAAAATCCTAACCCTCCCCCAGCCCACCATTTCTATTTCAGCAATTGAGAGAGGCAGGCACTTGGCTCCCCTTCACTTTTTACACTGATACTGCCTAGTAGAATCTCTGACTGCAAGAGTTTTCTGTTTAAAAGCTATGTTTACAGTCACTGTAGCTTATTGCCACTTTTAGCCTCCTCCTTTGGAGACTTCATCTCATTATTGTTTGGTTCCTAAGGATGTTAAATTGCGTTTATTCAGCTAATCGAGTAGTTGATGGAATTTCAGAGTCCTGCACTTGGGATGGAAGTGCCAAGCATTGTTACAGGCTGGGGATCAACTAGCTAAGTAGTAGTTCTGCAGAAAAGGACCTGGGGGTTACAGTGGATGAGAAGCTGGATATGAGTCAACAGTGTGCCCTTGTAGCCAAGAAGGCTAATGGCATATTAGGTTGCATTAGGAGGAGCATTGCCAGCAGATCCAGAGATGTAGGCCACATGTGGAGTACTGTGTCCAGTTCTGCTCCCCCCACTATAAAAAGGATGTGGACGCATTGATTAGGGGGCTGCAGCACATGACCTATGAGGAGAGGCTGAGGGAGTTGGGTCTGTTTAGTCTGCAGAAGCGAAGAGTGAGGGGGGATTTGACAGCAGCTTTCAACGTCCTGAAGGGAGGTTCCAAAGAGGATGGAGAAAGGCTGTTCTCAGTAGTGACAGATGGCAGAACAAGGAGCAATGATCTCAAGTTGCGGTGGGAGAGGTCCAGGATGGATATTAGGAAAACTATTTCATTAGGAGAGTGGTGAAGCACTGGAATGGGTTACCTAGGGAAGTAGTGGAGTCTCCATCCCTAGCGGTGTTTAAGTCTCAGCTTGACAAAGCCCTTGCTGGGTTGATTTAGTTGGGATTGATCCTGCCTAGAGCAGGGGACTGGACTCAATGACCTTCTGAGGTCTTTTCCAGCTCTATGATTCTACTCGATAAGGGGATAACTGCAGAGCAGCAACAAGAGTTAAGCTCCCGACCACCTGGCTCTTACTACATTTAAAAAGCAGAAGCACGGCATCTGTCTCCCCTGCTCTTCCTCCACCCCCATGGATCCAATGCTTGGGGGAACCAGCTTTTATGCCGGCTCTCCCCAGCACCAGCTCCTGCTCCCCCATTGCTGCTTTGGATAGCCCCCTAGTAGTTTTTTAATTCCATGGTCACACTAGGGATGTAAAAATTCAATTAACTGGTTAATCGAATAGTCAATATGAGGCACTGCCATTTTGAAGCACCCCCTACCTCCCTTGCTGCCTTTTTCTGATAAAGACAGCAAGGTGGAAGGGAGTAGTTAACTAGCATTTCAACTATCCAGTAAGTATTTGCTTATCAAATAGTCCTTCACATCCCTAGGTGTCACACTTTTTTCTCCATGCATGTTTAATTCAGTATTCAGGATAGGCAGTGTTCTAGAAATTAATCAGGACTGCATAGAAAATGTAAGACTTCTGCATCACTTGTTCCAGAGAAGTTGGAATGAGTGAATAAAGCTAACTGTGTCCTGGAAAAAGCATTTGAATGCCATCCTGGAGAACTGACTTCTATCCCCACATTTCCCACTGGGTTTCTATCTGATCCTGGACAAACCACTTAAACCAGGAATAGTTAAGAGGCAGACCACAGGACAAATCCACAGTGCTAGACACTTCTGAAATTATCATCATCATTACAGTGTGAAAATTGCTTCTCTGGTGTCTGGACCTTGACAAAAAAATAATTGACTCCCCCAACTTAAATCAGTTTATAATCAGATAGTCATTAATTGCTTAATTTTTCAAATGCCCAATCTGACAGAAAAGCTGGCCATTCAGTTATAATGGAAATCAATACAGCTCTGTTATGGACACATAACATGTTAAATACTCGGGGGGAGGGGGGGAATCAGTCCCCTGGAGCTTCAAATTGAGAACCCAAATAAGGTTTTCTATGTCTTAATCTTTTTATGCACCAGATCCTCATCTGTAAAATTACCATAGAATACCTCAGCGAAGTGTTATGAAAATAAATGCATCCTATATGAAGCAGACCGATATTACAATGATGAGCGCTGTAAGAAAAGCTCAGAAGAAAATGAAATTCAAAGCAGAGCAAAAAGGATGTATAATAAGTTAGACATGGAGAGACAAATCAAATAGCAAGGATAAAACAAAATGTTGAATAGCTGGAGTTAACAGAATTCATAATGTGCACAGGATGTGGCAAGAGACCTTTAATTACATGACTACATGCTATCTTAACATGTCCTGAATGGTTTGAAATGGGCTGAGGGCTGAATTATGAATGTGCAGCATTTAATTGTTATTTCCTAATTTTGAGTGAATGACTTTGCAACCTTAATATTCTTTAATATTTTCATGTAATATTTATATTTTAGTTCAACGTAGAGGTTACAGACACTACTGCAAGTTACATATAAAGGTGATCTGAAAACTAATTTTCAATACTGGATCCAAAACCATGCATCTCCTCAACTTAATACATGAATACTTTAAAATTAAATCAGTGCCATAACTGGAAAAAGATTAAGAAAACCTATGGGTCAAAACACTGAAAATAAACATTTTAAATACTGTTCCTTTAAAACAACAAATTATTTTTTATAAAACAATATTACTAATTGGAAGATGGCAAATACAAAAGGCTAAAAATTACCTTATTTATGAAATTAAGGACAGTACACCAAATACTGCAGAATTCGAAATTCGAGTAATTTGAAAGCAACAGTGATGTTGCTTTAATGATACTCCTCATATCTTTCAATACAGACCTGAACTATAAATTGTATTTTCTAAAATTCAAATTAAGATTAACACATTGTTATTTCCATCATATAAGATATCAACATGATGTGCTAACCACAAAAATGATAGTGTTGATATATGCCTTAATGATCTGCACAGAGAAAATAATGTTGTATTTTTCTATATGCAGAATTTTCCCCTGAATCAAGTGTTTTATATTATATATAAAATTTGTGATTACAATTCACAGTGGGTAGAACTGTACCCAAAAAATGGGGGAAAAACAAAGAAGTTTCTAAATCTACAAATGAACATCTAAATTACCAAAGGCACTTATTATAAGTACATGAAAAAAATTAAATGGACGATTCCAAATAATTGTGCACTGTCACACAAGAGATTAATTTGGAGATTCTCCTAAAACAAATGTTGATCCCATGAGTAATTCCCAACACAGCTAGGGCATCAACAATGGCATTAACATTTCAACAGGAAACAGAGTCATCTTAACACTGCTGAAAAGCGTTTTTTCTAACTTTTAACCTCCCCAGATGTTTTATAGTCTCTTGTGTTACATCGAAATTGATGCAAAATTGTAAGAAATATTGAAAGCTTTGAAAAAAGGAAACGTTTCAACAGATAACTCTAGCAGTTTCCTAAAATTAAGTGGCATTAACACATCACTTTGATAAACTTTTATCACAGGACTGAAAATAAGTCGGTGTTTTAGGCAAACGTCACCGAACACTTTTTCTGGGAAAACAAACCAGGCTTTTTACAGTTTACAGATACCTGTAATGGCTATCATTTGTACAATAACTACAAATACATTAAAAGTATTGAACTATGCCGATCCATCTTTTGTCAGCCAAAAGGGTGTCAAAACAAAAGGCTGTTTTATGAACACTTCGCACAATGCCTGCTCCGTTTGATTAATTAAAATCTTGCTTTTGCGCCCTGACGATACTCCCCGCTATTGTACTCCCTTGGCTTTGACTTCCCACCCTAGGCAATTATTCCACAGGGGTCTTGCGCCCTACACCGCGCCCTGACCAAAGTACTCCCCGCTATTGTACTCTCTTGGCTTTGATTTTCCACCCTAGGCAATTATTCCACAGGGGTGCTGCTTGTTGGGAAAGTTAGTGCTGCGCGGCCCCGAGTTTCTCCTTTCAATCCCCGTTTCCTACAAACCGCAGGTGACGGAGCCGCGTTAGTGGCCGGACCCACCGAAAGTCCAAAGACCCACACGCGCCACGCGAGCCCTTTGTACCAGGCGGGAGAAGCGCCGGGCTGGGTGCGGGCTGCGCTCGGATCTCGCACCCAACCCCGCACCGGCCGGGTCTCGGCGAGCCCGCCAAGGGAGGTGGGGGGAGGACGCCGGAACAAAAACCGCCCCGGGGGGA